CAGGGGGAGGTTGCTGTCAGTGGTAATAGCCAGGGCAGGCAGCTCTCAATTTCTTGGGAGCACATGCTTCTACTTCCTTTGTCCCAGGGGCAGCCACTGTAGTTTGCTGCACCACCCATTTCTTAGAGTGTAGGACATTGTGTGGGCTAGAATGCTGGGGACCTGGCTGCACTGCAAGGTCCAACTGGCATCCTGACACAGCAGCCCTCTGGGTGGTAGTGGAGGGATGTCAGCAGGGCTTCAGAGATGGGGAAAAGCAAGGGTTATTGGATCCTAGGGCAGTATATAGTCTTTGAAGGCTAGGCTCTCAAAATTTCACTGCATTGCAGCTGCTTGGTCTTGGGGGATGTGTAGGACCTAGTTTGAACTCCCTTTCTCTAGTAGTGACATTGTATGGACTCCAGGAAGCTCCTTATACTCCTCTCAGGACCTGAGGGGGCTGAAGTGTTCTCTCATGGCTAGGATCACAGAAGTCTGCAGTGGAAATGTAGACCACTGGGGGGCTCTCACTTAACTTTTCTCTACAGTGGATAGTTCCTCTTGGCTCTGAGATGATCCTTGCTGGGTCACCTGCTTCACTTTCCTCTCCTGCAGTGCTGTAGAGGTCCCCTGTTTCTTTCCTGTTGAATTCCAGTGTTCTCTGTTAGAAGCTCAATTTCACATGTGGTTATCTATTTACTGTTTTAATCTTTTTTTGTAGAGGAGGTGAGTGTCTCTAGTAAGCTATCTTCAAGCCTCATGTTACTCAGGGGCAATTCTTGACCCTGGTTGTATTAGACCAGAAGTCATCAAACTATGGTCTGTGAACCAAATCTGGCTGTCAATTTTTATGAATAAAATTTTATTCAAATACTGCTAGGTTCATTTATTTATGTGTTTTCTGTGACACCCAGAACATTTAAAACTTTTTCTATTCGTCTCTTTATAGAGAATTTTTGCTGACCCCTGCATTAGACTCATCGTGGAATATTTTTAAAAAAATTACTGCCTATATTCCATTGCAAATAATTAAATCAAAATTTGAAATCAGGTTTGTGAGTTGGTCCAAGAAGCAGTGTTTTTTTGTTGTTGTTTTTGTTTTTTCCTTTAGCATTCTAGATTAATATAGTGGGCAACCAAAGCTAAGAGACACTAATAGATAATTTATATTCTTGAGGAGTATGTGATTTGTTTGGGAGAAAAAACATATAAAATTAATAAAAATACAATTGATACATCTATAATGGAAACATTTTCAAAGTTCCAAGGGAGCAGTGCATACAGAGCATATTAGTTCATTAGAGAAGTTTTCCCAGGGGGGACATTTAAGTAGCTTCTTGAAGGATGCATCTACTGGTAAATAAGATCAATTCACTGGAAGTGGTGTCAGGGAGAGAAGCAACAGTTTTAAATAGAGAGAACAGCATATGTGGAGGCAGGTAATATGAAAGAGCTTGACCTATTCAATAAATGATCATAAGCTCAGTGTGGCCAGAACACTGAGAGGAGAGAAGGGAATGAGGTCATAGGATTGTAAGCTTGGAAAAGGAGGAGCTTTGTATGTTAAGATTTGGAATTTCTTATACTGACAATGAGATTGAATAGAAAATTGAGTCTCTCTATAGAAAAATGAGTTTTTCTCTCTCTCAAATAAGTAGATAGCACAGATGATTACTAAGAACCTTGTAGTTCTAAAATATAGTTTCTGATGTTATATTGTTTCATATTTTTGATGCTCTCAGCACTGGGAGCATTGTGGATGTTACATGAATGACATGGCCCTGTAGCGAGTCACCTAGCATCTCTACAGTTGATTCATTTCTGTAATAGTACAAATGAAGTCAGTGCTACCTTGTGAATTCACTACAAAGATTTGAGAAAGCAGACTACTGGATGGAAAATGCCTTGTCTGGTCAGTGCAGAAAGGTCCTTAATATAGAGTATTATATAATGAAAAAATACCTGTAAAATGCATATGTTTCTTGCATAGAAGTGATATAAAATGAATACAGTTTTATTGTCAAAATTCACATTCTTCACAATTAATACTAGTGCTTATAATGCCTTAGCATTTATGAGTCTTTATACTCAAATCTTGGTGAATGAATTACTATATAAGATCTCCTATATGAGATCTTTAAAATTTCTTTTATTTCAATAGCTTTAGCAGTACAAGTGGGTTTGGTTACATGGGTGAATTGATAGTGGTGAAGAAGTCTGGACTTTAAGTGCACCCATAGCCCAACTAGTGTACTCCTTTCTTCTAAGTCTCCAATGTCCATTATGCCATTCTAATCTTCCATATGATACTATTTTATAACTTATCTATATCAAGTCTCTATATTATGATCTTATCTCTGTTCAGACACTAGGGTAGCTATATGTCTACTTGTGTGTCTAACAAATTACATGTAATTGGCTTCATATCTTTAAGTGAAGCTATTCAAATTCGGGTATAGATTGAATAATATATTTACCTCTTTAAGGGTGTCCTGGAGTGTACAGAATAGCTGGTGGATAAAACAATAATATATGGTAGATTCAGTGATCGAAGAATCCAAGATGTAAAAGTAGCCCGATCTTTGCATTCTGATTTGTTTTACCAAACATAGGTAGATGAATGCACCCAAAATTTAAAAAAATAGTTAGAATGATGCAAATTGGAATAGACAGACTTCTTAGAGACACCAGCAAAAGCTGTTGGAAAAAACTTATATGGTTTCAGTAACTTGAATAGCAAACCTTTCTATTAAAGGAGATATCTTGAATGTTTTTAAAATGCTATTTAATTAGTAACTATTCCCCTATCTCTCCCAAAGAAAATTATAGAGAAACTCTAGAATGTTGTTACTATTGACCTCCTTGCCCTACATTTTCTTCACAGACATTGATGAGTGTGCTGAAGGACGCCATTACTGTCGTGAAAATACGATGTGTGTCAATACTCCAGGTTCTTTCATGTGCATCTGCAAAACTGGATACATCAGAATTGATGATTATTCATGTACAGGTAACTTATATTTATGAAACTTATATTTTTGTATGCCTTAAGTTTGCTTAAAATTTTTTTTGACTAATTTTTTATGTGTACCATAAATTTAAGAAAACATAGACAAAATCATGTCTTTATTTGGTAGTGAATTCTGAATCTGTCCTAAAGAAAAGAATACCTGCTTGTTCTGAGTAATTTTATACTTTTTGTTAGGAAGATAAAGAAAAACTAAAAAAAAAATCAACATTATAATAAGTAGATACTTAAACAGTATTTATGCTCAAAACTTGTGTAAATTATTACAGTCAATCTGAGAAATAACCCTTAAATGATATTTTCTTTATGAGACAGTAGATTTTTGAATATACTAATAATGACATAAATAATGTGATATTTATTAGAAATAGCCTTAGAGTTCTATGGCATGGAAATATTAAAGATAATTGCGCTTCTTCACACCTCTGGGAAGTACAGTGGAGCACTACTTCAAAGATTTTCTTATTTTTGTTGCATGGAATACCACTCCTTCCAGTACCATCCAGAGTCCTGTTCAGTGATATTGTGCATGTTAGTAATGTCTGAAGTTGTTCCTGGCTCGGGACAATACAACTTATTTCCTTCATATTCTTTAGGTTCCTATCTATAGAATATGAAAAAAAAGATGTGGTGCGAGAAGGGTACCTTGAAGACTATGGGATTTGAGGAAATGTGGGTGTGAAACAGGATATTTCTTTGGATTTCTATTTTTTTAAATAGGAGAAATAAAAATAACACATTTAAAAAACTTGCAGAAATAGAAAACTGGAGAGCATCTAAAATGTTCTTGTCGCTTTTTACTCTACTTTCTACTTTATGATATTTACCAGATGCATGCATAAACAGAACTTGGACTTTTGCAGGAAAAGATAATTTATCTCTCTCTAATAAAAATATGAATCTATAATAAGGTGTCACTCTGTCTTTGTTTTGATTGTCCACTTCTAAGTCTTCATTATAATGTTCATATTGGTTGCTAATAGATATCCTATTTATCAGAGCAGAAGAAAGGACCTCTCTCTAATTCAAGTTCAAATATAGTATTTATAAAAACAAACTTATGGAAATAAAAAATAATGAGAAGTGACTTCCCAATCTATGGGGAATAATTGAAGATATCCCAACCATTATATTTAATACAAAGATGCCAATGTATTTACTATTTTTGTCAGTTCACTCTAAACATTTCCATATTATAGAAACAACTCTGCACATTTTGTTTTGACAAAATGTAAGCACAATAAGCAGCAGAGTATCTTGAAGGAGGACTGCAGAGATGCTTTTCAGCATAAAAAGACAATAAAAGATCAAGTCATAATAAATAAATGGAGAATTGAATATACAGTTTACTGTAATATTGGTGATATCAATAAGCCTGATTTTCAATTTAATAGTTAAAAAAATTATCTAAGATAAAAATTCTGCATCTTAGAAAGTAGATATTTCAAGATGTGCTCTTTAAAAATAAGAGTGCAAGCAATTTTTGAGTCTGCTGATTCTGTGACATTACAGACTTGAAAAAGCTTTGTACATTTTATACTTCCTAGTGATTCTTTTTGCTTTTCTCATATTCTTAGAATAGTGTTAGAAATTTTAAGTAGGAGGACATAACACATAATTTGGACTGATGTTGAATGAGGAGTGTTTCTCCAGGGCAAGATATTTTCTAAAGGTTCATTTCTGGTCTGAGTCTGTCTGCTGGATGTAAATCCAAGGAATAGTTTAGCTTTCATACATTACAAGAAATCATCTTCTTTGGCTCCACCTCTCCCTGTGCATTTTTCTTCCAAGTAAAATCTCCCAACTTAATATTTGGTTTTTGACTATTTAGAAGGAATTTTCCCTTTGATTTCAAGTATCTAATGATATAAATGAAGTATCCCTTTGTAGGAATCCGGAGGAGGGCTGAAATTATTTACGAAAAGCTGTTCAGGCTATGAATTTTGTGCCTCAGGAGCCAGAGCCAAGAATTTCAAGATCTGGCAGATGATGGGACGTATTCCCTTAATGAGGCACTAGCATTTCCAACTAGCATCACTATTTCTATGCTTCCATTTAAAGAAGAGAGACTTTCTTGCCCTTCAATTTTTTTTCTACTGTGACTAAGTCTACAAATTTGAGAATTTATATATGTACACAAAATTTGAATTTTTTAGGGCATATGAGTAGATTTTCTTTTCTTTTCTCTATTTTTTTGAGTTGGAGTCTTACTCCGTTGCCCAGGCTGGAGTGCAGTGGCATGTTCATGGCCACCCCAGTGTCGACCTGCTGGGCTCAGGTGATCTTTCCACCTCATCCTTCCAAGTAACTGGAACTACAGGCAGTTGCTACCATGCCCGGCTAATTTTGGTTTTATTGTAGAGATGAGGTCTCACCAAGTTGCCCAGGCTGGTCTCGAACACCTGGGCTCAGGCAATCCTCTCCCCTTGACCTTCCAAAGTTCTGGGACAGGCTTGAGCCACCGTACCCGACCCTAGATTTTATTTTTTTAATCCAGAGTCAGGCAAACATTGCCAAAACTTTTTTTTTATATTAGTCCATGGAGGGTAAACACATATTCTGGGTTTCTGTAAAGGAAATACATGCTTAAATTCTGCATTCTTGGATTATTCTCCCCACATTTTGATATCAGAGTTCATACAAAAAGTTCAAAGAAATCACCCGTCTGATGGTTGTTTGTCTTGTAGTCAATACAGGAGATTTCTTTTTAAGAGCCCCCATAAAACCAGGGTAGGACTTTATTTCTCTGATAAAGATTAAGATTGATTTTCTCTGAATTTTAGTAACAGACACATACATATTTGCAGTAGAAGATCTTCCAAGATAGATGTCAAGACACCACTGCAGAGCCAGTCCTCAATGTTTGTGGCTGAGCTTTTGAAGTTCCACATTAGTTTGGCATCTGTATTCCTACCTCTCTTTCCCGTTAAAGACCCCCTTTCCATAACATAACTACTGACATTCAAAACACTGCACACAGAAGACTCTCAGAGTTTCTTATCCCATCTGAAAATAAATCATAGATATTCGAGTTTAAAGAAGATTCTAAAAGTAATATATGTTATTTTATAGTCAAGAGCTTTGAGCAATAAAATAAGCTTTTTTTCCCCTTCTTCTTTAATTCAGTAGCTTGGCATAGAAATTAGGTGTGTTACAGAGTAATTATGTTCTGTAGTTTCTCTTTATCAAATTGCATATTTTTTCCTTTCAGTTTCAGATTGAGCTAGCTAGATTTTCCTCATGATCATAGAATTTTGGAGATGGAAGAATTATTGAAAGTTGATTGATATAGTTTGAATATTTGTCCTCTCCGCCTCTCATGTTGAAATGTGATTCCTAATGTTGGGGGTAAGGCCTAGTGGGACGTGTTTGGATCATGGGGTTGAATCCCTCATGAATGACTTGGTGCCATCCTCTTGGTAATGAGTGAATTCCCTATTAGTTACCACAAGAACTGATTGTTAAAAAGAGGCTGGCACCTCCTCCCCTCTCTTTTGTTCCTACTCTCACCATGTGACATGCCTGCTCCCCTTGTCTTCTGTCATGAGTAAAAGCTCCCTGAGGCTCTCACCATAAGTAGATGTTGGCACTATACTTCTCTAGTCTGCAGAACTGTGAGCCAAATAAACCTCTTTTCTTTATAAACGACACAGCCTCAAGTATTCCTTGATAGCAATGCAAAACAGACTACTACAAAGATAATTTAGTTTAATCCCTTAACTTCACAAATGAGACTGAGGCTTATAGAGATTAATTGCTTTACCCATAGTCAGACATCTAGTGAGAGATAAAGGGGGCCAGAAGGTAAGCCTCCTTATTGTTAGTTGTTATACTATTCACCATTTGTCTAACTTGTAATCATACAAAAATAAAGGGAAAAGATTCATATTTTACATAGAAATATATTATTCACTGTGTAGTGTTTAGTAATTAAACTGCCTTCTTTATAGATAATTTAGGTTCATTAGCTTCAACTCCAAGATAAATTTTCCCCTACAGATCTTATCATAATAACCCCAAATCAGAAATTAGTAGAATAAATACAAAACATCATCATTTGGGCCTCTGACTATTCCAGAGTTACAGCAGTGAGTCAGTCGCACCATTTGCACAAATGCATCAGTTTATACTCTTCTAAGCTCATTAATTTTCCTTCCAGGGAAGGTGTTATTATTTTTTCCAATTAATGTTTCATAATTTCCTCACATCCTTTCCTCTTTTTGTACCTACAAGGGAAGAGAGAGAGAAAGAGAGAGAGAGAGGGAGAGAGAGAGAGAGAGAGAGAGAAGCAGGAGGAAGGAAAGGAAGAAGGGAAGGGAAAGTAGGAGAGAAAGAAGGGAGAGAAGTGAAGGAGAGAAAAGACTAAAGAAAAGGAAAGGAAGGGAAAATAGATTTTGGACCATATGAGTCAAGACATTTGAAGCTCATTCTTTGGGATCTCTGCAAACAATAACTAATTCTTATGCATAACAAAATCTCTTGGTTATTTATCTGGCCTAGTGGCTTCCTTGGCTCCCTCACATAAGTGTTAATTAAATTGCACACATTTTCTTGAGTATTACTGGGCATCTCTTTTAGGAACTGGTCTTGTGTAATGAGTAAAGCACAAAACATCTCTAAAATTAAAGATGGAATCTATAATTTTGGATAAATAGTTGAGTGAAGAGGCACTCATTTCAGGTCTTCCTGATAAATCGCTCTGCTCTGAATTTTACAAGAAAAGAAATTCTGATTCTTTTGTGTTGATGAGTTTGTATTTTTCTTATGTTGTGCAGTTCTTTAGATTGAGAACAGGAGTATGGGAAGGGATGGGTAAGGGGATGGAAAGTGCTCTTGTCCCAGCTTAGGGAGTAAATTAATCCTTTAGGTGCCTTCCTACCTGCCAGAGGTTGACAATGTCTGGAGATATTTTTGGTTATCACAACTGTGGGTGGAAGAAATTGCTACTGGCAGCTGATAGGTAGAGGCCAGGGATGCTGCTA